GTTCTGCTGCTACAGGCTTAGACTGCTGGAGGACAAACTGACCACATTTTTTTCCACTGTCTTTACTTACTCTGCTCAATCTGCTTTGTATTTGTAATTATTTTTTTATCCTTAACGTGTTTTGTGTCTTTCAGGTTCACCTACACCTACATCTGGACCTACATCTGGACTTACACCTACACCTACATCTGGACTTACACCTACACCTACATCTGGACCTACATCTGGACTTACACCTACACCTACATCTGGACCTACATATGGACTTACACCTACACCTACATCTGGACCTACATCTGGACCTACACCTACATCTGGACCTACATCTGGGCCTACACCTACACCTACATCTGGACTTACACCTACACCTACATCTGGACCTACATCTGGACTTACACCTACACCTACATCTGGACCTACCATTCTGTGTTCGTCTGTCTCTCCTTCCTGTCCTCTCAACCAGCCGGTCAAAGCAGATGGTCTCTCGTCCTGAGCCTGGTTCTGCTGGAGGTTTCTTCCTGTTAAAAATGAGTTTTTTCTTTCCACTGTCTCCACTGTGCTTGCTCAGGATGGGCGACTGAGACCAAGTGAAGATTCATCTTGTCTGCTGGATTCCTTAGATAGAGAACTTTACTAATTGTCTTTTATGTGAATGTTCCTGTAAAGTGCCCTGAGACAACTTTGTTGTGATTTGGCGCTTTATAAATAAACTGAAGTGAATTGAATTCAATCTCGTGAAAATGAGTCCTTGTGACAAATAAAGGTTAAATAATAATACATTTAAATCAACAGTTTTGAAGTAGAAAAAACTGCAGAGAAATAAAGGAAACTTTCGGGCCTGGATGAACTTTATTAATTTAAACAAATGTTTTAGGTAAAATAAAAACATTGAGGAAGAGGCTGAAGGAAAACTTGTTTACCTCTGCGTGTTGTTTGTCCTCCTCCTTTGCACTTTTAACACAAGTTGCTTTGCTTATGTTGGCACTCTAAAAGGATATAAAAGAAAAATACTTTAGACTTTAAAAGCTCATTTACATCAGTATCAGGGTCAGATACTTTTAATAGCAGCAAAATCTTATAAACTGACGAGTTCACATTTCTGCTTCATGAGTTTTTAAGTTAAACATTTCATCAATAATTACTGCACAAATTGTTTTAAGAAGATTCTGTCCAACATTACCACAAAATACAAAATGAGTATGTCATTTTTTTAAATGCTCCATCTTTACAGTACAAATACAAATCTGAAGATTTGGAGGAGGATCACCTCTTTGTCGTCGCTTTTTGTCCGGCTTTCTTTAGCGAGTCTGTGTTGTTTAAGTGCCGACGTCAACGCCTTGAACATGTCTTCGTTAAATGGAGGAAATTCTGCGGCGTTTTCAAGCTTGGCAGGAGCTGCGACTGAACTGGTGGCAGCGGACGCAGCGGGGATGGTTTGTTTATCTGCGGACGTAACAGATGGTGACGGCTCTTCCTTCACGTTTTCACTTCCCTCAGGAGAAGCGGTCACGTCTGCAGCGACCTCGGTTTTAAGCTTCTCGGTCTCATTCGCATCTGTCTCAGCTGACGCCACTTCCATAGAATCAGAAAAGGCAGATCCAGCTGTGGTTGTTGGTACTGGACAAACAGGAGGTCTGTCTTGCAAAGCAGGTTGTCCTTTAAGTTCAGGAGGCTGCGAACAAAAAACAGAAAAACTAAGTTTAAAGTGCACAAACTAACAAAAAGCCACAGAAAACGGGAATAAAAACTACCGGATTTTTCACCGTAAATGTCGCTCCGCCCTGTAAGTCGCATCAGTCCAAATATGTCTAAGAAAGTGGAAAAATCCATAAATACGTCGCTTCGCCATTTAAGTCGCATCTATTATGCGTCACCGCTGAAAAGCTGGTGTTGTGCCAACAATCGATTGGCTGCCAAATGGGGCCGCAGGAGCGTTAACGAGAGGACTCAACAAGAATTTGACAAGATTAACACTTAAAAATAATTACTTGTTTGCTCGACATTATAGTAAAGGTGTGTCTCAGTTGAACTTTTTCTTAATAAATACACTTTAATAGTCAAATCAGCTGCATTTCGCCGGGGCGGCGCAGCGAAATGAAGCTGATTTGACGGTTGCTCCAGGTGAGCTGGACGAAGGTGGGAGTCTAATAGGGCAAGCCGATTACCTATTAGATGACACAACGGCATGCCATACTACTCGAGTGCCATCTAGTAGTTGAAAATGGTAGTGTTCAATATTTTCAGTCAGAATGAATGAAAACGGTCATATCTCAGCCACTGGTTTATAAATATGGGAAAAATCCATAAACACGTTGCTTCAGTGTATAAGTCGCAGGGCATGCAATTTATGCAAAAAACTGCGACTTAAAGGGCGAAAAAACGGTAGTTGGTCTGGTTGTGTGTTAAATATCAGTCTTTAAGTTTAAAGATTAAGATTAAATCTGAGCATTATCAATCTGAATGTTCTGTAGATACATGATCAAAGTACTGTAGATGTAAAATAAATAAATAAATCTGAGTGTTGCTCTCCTTTTTGGCCTTCTACTGCTAAATTACTTTATTATTAAAATTAATTTTACCGTAGTCGTTTTAGCTGCCACACGTTACCAAATTAGCTTTTGAATTTATTTATTATTATATGGATAATAAAAGTAGTTTGTGAAAACTTACTGTTGCCATGGCAGTTTCCATCTGGACGCAAACTGCAAAGAAATTTTTGGGAAAAATATTTAATACACAAGCTATAAATTATGACTGCATGGAAAAATTCAATATCTTGGACTTCTTACCCTTTTCTTCTTGTTGCTGATGCTTTTCCATCTCAACTTTTACTGCTGGGATGGTAACAGGAAGAGCATCCAACATGGCTGTGGCCGGTTGTGGACTGGGTGCTGCTGTTTCGGCAGCTACGGATACATCAGGCGATGAAGCAGAAATTTTGCTGACAGGTTCTAGTGCTGGATACTTTTCAGTTTTTACTTCAGGGACAGGATCTTCAGAGGGGAGAAAAATCATTTTAATAGACGGCTGCATTCTGAATGATTTCCCAGTATAACTAAAGATATTCTAAGGCTTTATTTGGACAAAGAACCCATTTGAATTCAGTATAAACTTCAGGACCAGGACTTGCTGGACTTGACAATCCTTCATAAGGTTCACACATCAGTCTGTTACTGTGGTCAAGTTAAAGAGGTACACTGCGCTCCATTAACCTCGAAATTAAAACTTGGATTTGGAAACGGCGAAATAGTTTAACCACATTTCAGCTGCAAGTCAGAAAACCAGTTGAAAAAGTTTTGAACGGTGTCATCAGTGTTTCTCCTACCATTATACAAGCAGGGCGCCCCGCCCTGCCAACAGAACTGAGCGCCCTGCCAAGGCAAGTAATCTAAGGGAAACACTGGTGACCTAACGAAAAACTATTAACTACAGTTAAAAGACAATACAGCCCTGGAACAAATTATTAGGCCACTGATAACTTTTTAAATCAGCATTTCTTCCAGATTCCAGGGGAGATGTGTCTCCCCACATTAAAAAATATTTATTCAGTTCCCCTCCACATTTACCATGAAATATTAGTTCACCCAGCGGTGTTTCTATTTCTTTGTGAATGAATCCATTCCACTTGATTAATAGAATACTCAAACCACTAAAAAGCCACTCCAGGTTTTCCTGATTACCGACGACGACTTCACACTGTATGCAGTGTTTCTCCAAGGTCATGTGCCTTGGCAGGGTGTTCATGTGGGGAGGGGGAAAACACCTCTGCTTTGCACGCTAGCTTAGCGCCACGTTAGTGCTGGCAGTTGCTGACGGGGGTGGGGGGGTAGTATGTGAGAGAGAAGTGGAGCACTACGTCTGTAGCATCTTAGTTAACGCTTCTGTATTGTGCGCCGCTAGCTTAGCACTACATTAGTTCTTGCAGTTTTCGATGTGGGGGTTCACGCTAGGATGCTTGAGAGAAATGGAGCGTGCTCTATTCACACAAGGAGAGCTGTTGGTCAGACTACTTCTTGATAAGCTCTAAAATAGTTCTTGAATCAAGTGTTTACTTATGTAGGTAAACATAGATCTTTAACAACCTGTTAAAATACACCAGAATGCAGGAAATGGCATCTACTTTATTCAAAATTTTCTGGAGGTCCCACAGACCCAACTCCCCATCCCCAGCGTGTCACCCCCATTACTGATTACAGCGTGTCCCTCCGCTAAAATTGCTTCTGATGCCAGTGATTTCTATGATTGGCAGCAGTTGTGTTGAATTCCAAAACAAGCACACCTCTACATTAGATGATCATCTTTTACCTTTTTTTAAATGAGGAAAAGTATAGAAACCACTGCAGTTGACATGATGCACTTTTTGGAATAGAACCAAAACTAGCAGTAACTCAAAAGTACCTAGAATAAAAAAATAACTATTAACCATGCCTAAAAAATTGAAAAGAAAATATTTGATTAAGGAAGGGGTTTGAATTTGGCTTTACTGGCAGAGGGATTTTGCCTCTACGGTTATCAACAAGATGTTGGAAATAAAGAAAGTGGAGAAGAATTTGCACAATTATTTTTAAGATAGATCGTCTGTATAG